AAGTGTAGTACAGAATTCTCCACTTAGATGTTTCATTGTTACTTTAAACTTATTATGTCTCAAATTGAATTCATCATCTTCCTCTTCACAATAGCCTTAACCCTTCCCAACTTTTCCATCCCATTAATAGCGTCTCTAATACATCCATTATACCCTCTCCGATCTCTTCCTGACACTGCAATCAGAAAGATTATTCTAAGGAGCCAATCTGATCATGTCATTTCCTTGCTCAAAACCTTTATTCAGCAGCTTCACATTGCCTCCAGAATAAAGCCTAAAGGGCCCTTTGTGATCTAACCCTTGCTTCCCTCCACCGACATCTGGCCTCATTCCTTGCATGCTATGCTACAGCTACTCTCAATTATTTTAAGTTTCCAGAATGTAATACCTCTACATCTTTTCACATACTGTTTCTTCCACCTGGAAGACCTTTCCCAATCTAATCCCTTTACCTAAGTCCTACTACTCCATCATATTTCAGCTTAGAAGCTACCTTCTGTGAAGGGATTTTTTCCTGACTGTTCTTCTCCCACCTGCCCAAATTAGGTGTGTATTCTGTGCTTCCAGAGCATTTTGTGCTTATCCCTATCTTAGCACCAAATCCTTGTATTCTAATAATTGTCAGTCTACCTGTCTTTATTATATCCCCCAGTAGTCTTTAAGCTCCCTGGGGGCAGGAACCATATCTTAGGCACTGTTGTAGTCCCTGAAGTAAGGGCTTTTCATGCTTTATCTTGTTTAATCATCACAACAGTCATTTGTGGTGGGTACTACATCATTCCTATTTTACAAAATAAGTAAACTGAAGCAAAGAGAGTTTAAGAAACTTGTCCCAAATTATCAAAACCAGGAAACCTGACACTAGAACCAGTCCATCACTAAATCTATTACCTTTAAATCCCTTTTCCACACAATTTTGCAGTGACCTGTCTAAAACATAGAACTGACAAGATTTCTTCTTTGTAATCCCCTCAGTGGTTCCTATGCCTGCCTGCAAGTCATATCCTTGTCTACCTTCCTGGCCTGGTCTCCAGTGCCTCCCCAGGACTCACTTGATACTGCTACTGCAGAATCACCAGATTCCACAGTTTCATCCTTCTCTAAGTGTTGGTCCCTGTACAAAAATGCCCTTTCTCACCTTACCTTTCTGGAGAAATCCTGTTCCTCCTTCAGAATTTGCTCCATGAAATCTTTCCTGATCACTTTTTCTTTAAAAAGATTTATTAATTCATTTATTTTTGGCTGCATCGGGTCTTCGTTGTGGTGCGCGGGCTCTTCGTTGTGGTATGACAGCTTCTCTCTAGTTGTGGCATGCGAGCTCAGTGGTTGTGGCACACAGGCTTAGTTGCTCCGCGGCATATGGGATCTTAGTTCCCTGACCAGGGATCGAACCCATGTCCCCTGCATCCACTGGACCACCAGGGAAGTCCCCAGATCACTCTTTTTTTGTTTTTATGGCTGCACTACGCAGCCTGTGAGATCTTAGTTCCCCGACCAGGGATTGAACCGGCCCGGCAGTGGAAGTGCTTCCTGATCACTCTTTTCCCCATCCCATTGCAGGCAGTGGAATCCTGCCTCCACTCTCGGAAGCTATGTGACTTGGCCAAGTTACTGATTTAGTTTTCTCATTTGTATAATGGCAAGACTAAGACTACCTACTTTGTAGAATTGTTGTGAGGACTAAATGAGATGATGTCAATTGAGTACTTAGCAATGGGCTAGGTGCAATTACTATTAAATACTTGTTCCTATTCCTCTATGTAGCTGGGCTTCTACTGCTGCAAGTTTAACACTGCATATGATTTCCTCATGTGTAGTTTCCCCACCAGAGTGGAATCGCCTTGAAAGAAGCACCCACATATCATTTATATTTTAGCACAATGCCTGGCATATTACAGGCACTTATTAACTGATAATTGAACTAGACAATTTAATACTACCCATCTTTCAAGGCCCAGTTCAATCTCCATTTCTTCCACTAATATTTACCTAATGATTCCAGCCCTCTGAATTTCCCCTTCTCAGAATTCTTTTACCACTGACATGTATTATATGTAGAAGTGTTGTCTCAATGAGGCTTCAAGTTCTTTCAGGGCAGACACCATTTCTTATACTGTTTATCTGCCCAACAACTGCTAATATTTCCAATCGCAAAGTTAAGAGTTCAACAATTATTGGGGTTGGCCAAAAAGTTCGTTTGGATTTTTCCAAAAGAGCTTATGGGAAAACCCGAACGAACTTTTTGGCCAATCCAATACTTGTGAATTAAAATATTGCTGCCCAAGCATGGGCAGCCTCATCTTATCTTTATTAGTAAGTCACCCATCTCTAAGAAAATTCAGCTAACAACTCATCTCCTGATCCTCCTTCTCTTAGCTTGTGGGAATTCTGCTTAGAACTGCATTAATTTGGAGACTTCCCTGGAGGTCCAGTGGTTAAGACTCTGTGCTTCCGCTGCAGGGGACATGGGTTCAATCCTTGGTCAGGGAACTAAGATGCCGCATGCCACGTGGGATCTTATTTATTTAGTTGCACCGGGTCTTAGTTGCCGGAGGCAGGCTCCTTAGTTGTGGCTCGCCGGCTCCTTAGTTGCGGCAATGCAAACTCTTATTGTGGGCATGCGAGTTGCGGCATGCAATGTGGGATCTAGTTTCCTGACCAGGGATCGAACCTGGGCCCCCTGCCTTGGGAGCACGGAGTCTCATCCACTGCGCCACCATGGAAACTCCCGCCACTCGGGATCTTACATTAATTTGCTTTTATTTGTATGCCACTGTCAGGTCTTAGCTTCCAAGGGAAGAGATCTTCCCTTTCCTTGTTAACCTCCCTCAAGGCCCAGTAGAGGGCACTATACACACAAGGGCTGCTAGTGTGGGTGCCACTGGCTGACTGTAGATATCGTCAATGGCAATTCTCCGGGCTATTTTTCTTTTGCCTGTGTTTTCCATGCTAGGGCCACAACAGCTTAAAATAAATGCTGCTGGACAATAAAAATGGTGACTTCATCCCTGCCACCCTGCATATCAGATGGCTCAACTGAGAGGCTTGTCAGCACAATTATCACTCAACCATGTTGGAGTAGAAGAACCCTTGAATCCACTCTCTGGAATAAAGATTTTAGAAAACACCAAGCTAAAATAATGGGCAGGAACAGCTATTTGAAGCACTGCAGAATCAGTCTTCCCTGACTGCCTAGCCCTATAGTATGGGAGTGAAGGAAAAGAAATGGCACGTTTTAAACTGAAACAGAAATAGGAACAAACATCTCTTGGCACCCCAGGATCCCTAATGCTATGCTTAAACCTAAGGGCCAGGGAAGCCAAGAATAATGGAAAAATCATATAAAAGCCTAGATACTAACTCAAGCTCTTCAGTAAACTAGCACTGCCACCTTGTAAGTAACTTATTTCTGTATGTCAACTTCCATTACCTGTGTATTAACTTCCGTTACCTGTATATTAAATGAAACTGCACTAACTAGATGATTCCACATCTTGAGACTTGCTGGCCTCATTCCCCAGCTGTAGCCACCTGGCAAACATAAAACTAGGGACAACATGCTCAAAAAGAAGTCATGGGACTGGTTTAAGGGGAATAAGGATGAAAAGGCTCAGAAACCCCACCACAATAAACATTCATATATCTCCTAGCTTTAAGATATAAAGTTTAGGGAAGCCCCTGGCAGTCCAGTGGTTAAGACTCCGTGTTTCCAATGCAGGGGGCGTGGGTTTGATCCCTGGTCGGGGAGCTAAGATCCCATGTGCTCCGTGACCAAAAAAAAAAAAAAAAAAGAAAGAAATGAAGACGTATCTAAAAACAACCCCAAAACGTGGAGACCAGAGAAAAATGGCTCTAATCGCTAAGTAAAAATTTTAAATGTTCTCTGTATAAAAAAAAGATATAAAGTTTATACCTTTTGAAGTATATGAACTTTTTCATATATTTTCTTCCAGTTAGACAATAAACCCCACAAAGGTAGGGAATGCCTTTAATATATTTCTCCAAACCAGCTGGCTCACTTAGTGTCTAGCATGCTGTTCAGAAAGGCTGATGGTTAGGAAGCATCACAATCCGCTGGCTAAATCAGGAGAGAGCAAGTCAGCATAACATCCCGAGTAGCTGAAAACTTATTGGGAAAGTTTCTGATTAAGAAGAATGAGTTAGATACTGAGAACAACATTCCTTCTCTAGTTTAGAAGTACTCCTCCCCCTCAATATGATAGAGATTTCTCTGGAATATCTATGTCTCGTGGACCCTGTTTATCTTCCTTGATGCACACTCATTTGAGAAGCCAATCACATTTGGGAAAATACCATGATAAATTCTCCTAATCAAACTTGGGCAAATGGGCAAGTTTCAATCTTCACACATGGTAGATTGGTGTGAGAGGAGACAAGTGAGTTTGTTTCTCCTTGGGTAACATTTCTTTTGTATATTACACTCACAAGTAGTTTTAAACTTTTTTCAGTGGCAGGATTCCAGTGATGGTTAGGACATCATGAGGAAAGAAGTGACTCTGCCCCCTGCTGGCCACTAGCAGAAAGGCTTGAAATCCTTTTGGCTTATTACTAGAGGTCACATTTCTCCTTCACAGACATGAGAGCTTGTGAAGGAATGGAAGACTGAAAGGGAAAAGGAAAAGCAGGCTTCCTTTTTTGCTTAGCCTGTACTGAGCTTTAGGTGTCAATAAACCATTTAGATCAAATACCGCAAACCCCTTATTTTGTGAGTCAAAACCTGAGGTGGCTGCATCTTCTGCATTAGCTACAGAAACAGTAGCTTGGACAGGAGTCAGGAAAAGTCCTGGTCTATATGCCAACGTCCCTGCTCCCTCTCCGTAAATTAGGGAAACGGGGAACCCAGACACATCCCACATGAAGGACCCCTGTTCCTTAGAAACTCAGGCTCCACACTGGCTTCTCCCCTTGAATGGTGTCTTCAGTATTGTTTTCTTCCCTTTCCCCAAACCCCAATAAAACACACCAACTGCTTCAGAGTATTTCTGGGTTGGGTTTTTTTTGTGGGTCTTCTTTTGTTTTTTATTTCAAACTGAAAAAGTCCCCTGGGCTCTGTGGAGCTCCCCACGCTCATGGCCCCCTTCTCCCACGCTCACTGCCCTTCTTCCCGCAGCAAATCTATTTCAAGGACAGCACTTTTTTTTTTTTAATGAATAATTGAGTTCTCAGCTTGCTCTGCAGAACCAGAGGAGCTGTCTGCATCTTTCATATTTAGATGGTCAGTTTCTTTTATCTGACACCAGGTCCCCAGCCACATCCAAGCAAACAAGGCATTCTTCTACAGAGCTGAATTAGAGCCTCTCATCTTTTGTCCATTTTACTTCCTCCTCCTCACACCCACCCACCAGCCACATGGTTAAGGAGGATAGTCAAGAATGTTTTTATCAACTCCAAGCCCTAATTCATATCCCCCCAAATCTCCCACTCCACCCTCCCAACCCCCCACCCCAACCCCAGGATTTCACCGAGATGTCTCCCAACAATTATTTGGAGAAAAAGGAAAAACAAAAAAGGTTCAAGGTCTTGGTGCTCAGCCCAAGGGGCTCCATGCGCTGGGACACCGACGGGCAGGGGCTTCTGCCTCTCCAGCCCGCACCCGAGCCACCTCCTGACCCCTGGCTGCAAAAGCAGGGAGGGGCAGGAGCCAGCACAGGACCCAGGGGGGCAGCGTCTCAGGATCTGGCGGAGCCCCGGGCAGCATCATTCAACTTGGCCACTGCAGACGAACACAGAAGAAAAAGAAAACACTGTCAAGCAGTAAGGGAAAGAACCCTAAGTTCCACCCCAGTCTCTACCCCATCACTCTTCCACACTTAACAATCATTAGGGCTACCTGGCACATGTCTCAATCCTATCCAGCGAGTTGTTTAAAAAAAAAAAAAAAAGAATTTCAGTCTTTTCCTGTCTTCAAAACAAAATGTTCTCTGTCTTTTTGGAGATACCCATGAAAACAAAAACAAAAACAAATTCTTTAGACAAGATCAAAATAACTGGAGGTTTTCAGGGGTGTAAGCTGCCTGGCTCAGAGCAGGCTTGGTTTCAGAGGCATGGCCAGAGCCACTTGCAGCAGCAGAGACGGACTGGGGGCACACAGTGATCGGGTGGTAACTGCACGGAGGTCAGGGCCAGACAGCACACATGTTGTTCTGAGTGGACTTAATAATCTAGGTTTAATCAAAGCAATTTGGATTTGGATTTTGAAATGACCCTTCTTTGCCATGGAAGCTATGTACTTCACGCTGTGGAAACAGGTGGCATATACAGAACGTAGCTTGCTTCTTTGTTTTCTTAGCCTTGAAGATGACCAGGTGGAGAGAGAGACCAACAGTTTTTCTGATTTCCCTATTTCTTCTATTCCTTCCTAAAAACCAGACTCACTGTGGCCTCAGTCTTGAGGAGTCATACTGACCGACAGAGAAAGCAGCTCAGACAGAAAAGAAAATACAAAATTTGAGAAGATCGGAGGTGAAGAAAACGTACAAAATTATATATATATTTATATATATAATAACATGACATATCTATGTACAACATGTCTGGGACAGTTGAGGAAACTATACAAGGATGTTCAGCATTTTCCCCTTCCCACATGGACTTTAGACTAAGGAAGACAGCATGAGGAAATGGAGCAAGAAACACAAAAATTATATACAATTACAAGTGACAGCCAAGGAGTTTGGGGGCCAGGGAATCACAGGATCCTGCTCTCTCCACTCCCTCCTCACCAACTTTTTCCTATCCAATCTGAATGATGGCCTGAAAAGTGAATGGCTGGTCAGGAAAGAAGTAGAGACACACCCTAAACCACCCCCCGCAACGTGCATTAGCAAGTTCATCAGTCGTCCTCATCAGGCCAGGTGTGTGGTACATCAGAACTGGTGAGCTGAGAGGGCAAGAGAGGATTATAGAATCTTCCCCTCCTGAACGGCTAGTTCGCACCCTGCTCTCTCTGTGATAACTAGCAGGCTGCTGCATTCAGGCCAAGCCAGTGATAACTAGACTGATGATGCTGGCCACCTGCAGCCCCGTTCCCCCACCTGGTTCACGATCAGCATTGCTACTTCTCAGAGCACAGGAGCTGGGTTACTGGGCTCTAGGAAGGCAGAGATTTCTCAGTGCTCCTTCTCCTTCTCCCTAACCGCCTTCCCCAGCTTCCTCCAAGGTGACTCATCTCCTGAGAACCTGCTGCTCCAGCCCTGCAGTAGCACGAAGCCCTGGAGGCTCGCTCAGTTCATCCCTTTTCTTCTTGTCTCCCTAACAATACACCTGGCAGCTGATAACATCTGAAATATGGGACTCCAAATGTGCATGACTGAGCATGTTTCTTCAGGCCCACAGCTTGGCTGCCAGAGCAGCTTTTTAGCAGCAAGGGCCCAGATTGTAGGAAAGCAGGTGAGGGCAGAGGCAAGAGCTTTCACGGCTAGCTTCTTAGAATTTTTTTTCTTGACCCTCAAGACCATGATACTTATGAGGCCCTCTTGCCTGAATTTATAACCCCCAAACCTCAACTTCTCTCCCCGTGTAGTCTTCAAATAGTTCCCCTCTGTAGGCTCACCTATGGGCCTTCCTCACTTTTGGCTTTACAATGAACAGCAGTTTTTTTCAGGATTTTAGAATCAGAATCAATCTTATCTATATTCAACTGTTTTACAGAGGCGGAAATAGAAATCCAGAGAGGTTAAATGCCTTGACCAAGGTTACATGTCAATTCTGCCTAGACTGAGTGGGACTAGAACCCAGATACCTTGACTCTTAACCCAGTGTTCTTTCCACTATCCCACGATACTTTCAAAAAGCAACATGCTGGAAGAGAGAGAGAAGGTGCCCATTTTATGTGAATTATATCCTCCAATCTTTACATTATTTAAGAACCAGGGCAAACTGTAAAAGACACTGACTGAGTAAAGGAGGTTAAGTGGGCATTATAGTTTTAGGCAAGCAAATCAGTTTTTCCTTTTGAGGCTTCTCTACACCTGCCATAATGGAAACATGAAGCAGTAGCAGCCCAAGGGACAAAACATTTAAAGCACAGAAAACAGATCCCATTCAATCTATCTTTCCCAACCATGTCAGGTTAGCCTTGGGATGTTAAACCTGTCATATTATTCCCAAGGCCTAGCCTAACCAATTTTGGGATATTCTCTTCCAAAAGGAGAAGTCACATCTCCCCAGTTTTTTGTACAAAAGAAAAAGAGTTTGCAGCATTATCCAATCCTAGTCTCCTATTTCTGAGCCCCTACCTGGGCTACATGAGGGTGTGGAAATCTCAATTTATCCAAAGAAATGAACTCAGAGCCTCTCTTCAGCCCACATTACCTTCTCAGCAGCCCCCAGGAGAATCACAGTCATTTCTGGCTAGCAAGCTGAGAAGATATAACTAGGTGCCCATTCCATCCCTGCCTATGATATACAAAAGTCCAGTGGGTGAGGAAGGGGAGCAGAAGGGGGCCCCGGTTACCCCGCAAGCTTGCTGGTGACGAGTGAGGACTTTCTCTGGGGCAGATCCTGTGGGGTGGGGATGTGGTCACCAGTCACCAGGTTCTTGTCTGGTCCTGCACTTGGCAGCTGCTTATTCTTCATCTTGGCTTTGGCCATGTTGTAGTCTCCTGAGTCAAAGTACTTTTGCTAAGAGATAAGAGGGAGGTTTAGGTGAGTGAGGAGCTCTGGTCTTCCTCAAAAACAAGGAGACTCACATCCACTATAAACCTTCATCCACGCTCAGACCTTTCAAGTCTCTTCTGGATTAGTCTCATGCATACAGAGCTTAGCATTAATTACATTTACTTACGTCTTCTCCCCAGTGTGTTCTGACTTTTTCAGGTATGGAAGCAGTTTCCCAACTAGGGTGTTATTTTTGGAGTTAAGAGATAGCTCCTACATCCTCTGTACCCACATCTTTTGTAGCCCCATGAGTACAGGATGGTTCAACCAAATTACTGACTTTATTCACTAAGGCTTATAAGGACCTATTAGCCTCCAATGGGCTTGGTGCTGGGGAAACAGAAATGAATAAGATACAGAGAAGGGTCGATCCGGGGCTATCAGCAGGAGATCAACCTCAAGCTAACAACCTCAAAATTAAAAAATATTCTCTCAGACTATGAATAGAAACTGGGCTTGTTCATGAGAATGTACTTTCCTCTAACTGCAAGCACTCCCACACACGTTCCATGGCTCTGACAGCCTGCCCACGCCTGCCTTGCTTACAGCAAGGTAAACTGCAAATCAGCATCACATCATCATCTGTGACTAAGACTCAGTAACCGGGATTCTCCACAGGAATCTGCTTCCCTCTCCATTTCATCCACATAGAGAAACACACTCCAGGTTAATGACATACAATCCCTCAGTCAGCTTTCAGTACCTCTGAGGACTGAGAAACCTGATCAGGAGCTAGATGGCTATGAAGGTAAGACTCTGCCTTGGGAGAAGGACCATTCTGGACAGGAAAAATAAGTCTCTTCAGGGAGCATAGGTAGTAGTTGGTGCTAACTTCAAGGGTCTAAAGACATCTACTATTCAAGTTGAGGAAATCTGTAGGACAGATGGGCTGATCTTTTTCTGAAATGACACACCCCAAAATTTAGCTCTAATCCTAAATGTGCAATCCTAAAACTCCCACCATCCAAACAGGCAAATGTCTGGTGGCTGTCAGCATTCCAGACTCTAACATCCTTTCCTCACTCCCCCAACCCCATACCCAAATGCCCCTACATTAAGCCTTAATATCCTACGTGGGAAATCAGAAGATAACTGATACCATTTCAGGGATTTACAATATTTGCCTTGCTTTTTACAAGTTTCTAATTTTTCTCTACTACTGCCCCACAACAAAACCTTCATATTGGTGTTCAGCAGAACTTCCACAGATCTCATCCCTAAGGCCCCCTTTGGCTCCGAAGTAAGAGATTGTGCCCCGTACCCCTTTCTGGAGTCTCTTCATGAGGAAGTCGGAGCCTCCAGGCTTTTGTCCTAGGCTTGGATATTTGGCCTTTAGCTTTGCCTCCTCGGCTCTCTCAGGGAGCATACCTTCTTTCTCCTGTGTGTCCTGGAGGAAACAAACGGGCCAACAAAATTAAACAATAAGAAGCAACTGCTTCTAATATCTGATAACTTTTACACTATTACCTTTTCCTGGAGGTCTACCTGTTAGTAAACATGCTATTTCCACTCTGTTCTTAAATAAAGCTAGACCTTTGTTCAGATCCCTAAAGCTCAAGATGACTGTACTGTGAGAAGAAAAGATAACTTGCTTCTCACACGAAACCCAGGGAACCACCCCAGTGACCTGTGAGTGACCTATACCTAAACCTAAACACAATACTTCACTCAAAGAGCAAGCGATATCTCACTTAGAACAGAAGCTAGGAAAAACAGTGAAAAGAGCTAACAGGGCTTCTGGTGATACAAAATTAGTACGAAAGTTTCCTAGCTGTCCCTAAAACACAGTACAGGTCAAATGGGAAATCAAGGGGGATAACTGCTGAGATGTACCCTCCTAAGCTAGTCAGCAGATAAGTCTCTCTACGGAGGAGGCTAGCTATGTAGCCATCTCCAGACATCTCCACCTTAGTAATGGGACAGCATTGCTTCCATAAACACTGTAGTAGGAAGGTGACAGGTAAACAAGAGATTAAAATGACACTTTTTAACCTCAAGAAAATTAAGGTACAGTAGGTTCACTAGTATTTACCTACCAGCTTTGCCAAAAAATCAACACCTTCCCTAGTGACGGAAGTTTGGGGAACATGCCAAGAGCTCAATTAGCTTGTGGGGGCTCTTACTGTTGCTGTTACTCCCTGCTTGCTTTTTGTAGGCCCTGCAGCACTTTTCTTTACTGACTTTTTAAAAAAGGACATGAAGCCAATTTGTGGCTCTTTTTAGTGGAATTACATTCCCTTCCCTTGAAAACCTGGCACAGACATAACACCGGGTGTATTTCATGAACCCGAATCCAGTACTAAATGTTATAAGTCAAATACAAACCCCCAAAGAGGGTGGCGTGTTTTCATCACAGAATTGCGGGTTAACTAAGTCTCACTACCTTGGAAGTCTGGGGGGAATATGGTGGCGTCTTTCTTGTCACGACTCTGTCGGCGTCTTTTCTAGGTTTAACCTCCATTATTCTGTTTGGAGCTCTAGTCCTCTTCAATTTTGTAAGGTCCTCTTTGAAGGTGGGCAACAGACCATCTCCAGCGGTCAAAACAGGTCTCTCTGAGAAAGTTGCCGCCTTAAACTAGCCATGATAATAATTACTCTTCTCCCTTCCCCCAGTGCTGGTCCTTTTTAAACGTCTTTACCTCTACTTGTATCTTTCTGGGGATTTAGAATGCAAGCCCCAGCCTAGTGGTTGGGTCATTTTACCCCTACTAACCAGTAACACACATCTCATCCCGGGACCACCAACCCCTTTCATTCACCAGTCTTTCTAAACACCCGCCCCGCACCCAGGCTCGGCCAATTATAGCACAACTTCAATGAGTTGAGCGGTAGGTCTACTGGCCAATCAAGAAGAGAACCGCATTGATTGACAATCCACCCAGCTAACCAGCGCCAAAGCAGCCCTCCGTACTGAAGCTCACCCTGCATGACGCAAGAAGTGGCCAACCCCTGCAGAGCCCGAGACCATGGCGACCAATCCGCACTGGTGGGAGACCGTCTCCCGCCCCATCACGGTCGCCCCCAGCTCGCCCACCGCACCCCCTCCATTTCACCTGCTTCTCCTCGCCGGTCTCCTCCGCAGGGTTCTCCTCCTCTTGTTTCTGGGACATGGCGGGACCGGGACTGTGGAGTGTAGGGGACCCAGGAAGTCACCCGGAGAAGGGAAGGGGGAGGGGAAACGGGACAACCTGCGCTGCTTCTTCGGCTCCTGTCACTAGGGTTGCTCAGTCAAAATGGCGGCTCTTGCCTGTGACGTTGCGACCGCCCCTTCCTATGGGAGCCAATGGGAGCGGGGTAGCTAGGGCAATGACGTAACGACCTACCAATAGTTGCTGGCTAAATGTGGGTTCTATAGAGGCGACGGGCAAGCTGGAAGGCCAACCTGGAAAGAGAGTGACCCACAAGGACCAATTGGAAGCCCTTGGGGGATGTGAGGGGGTGGTGCTGGTAGCTCTGGCATTTTGCTCCTTTGATGGGGTCAGACTTCCTTCGGCTCCACCGCCCCGCGCCCAGGAGGCTTTGCTGAGCTTCAAATTGGAGAGCGAAATGATGGAAACCTTTTATTTCCAGGTGAAGAGGATTAAGCTTTACGCAGTGTTAGCAGAAAATTATCAATCACCAGAAAATAATTAAGAGGTCAGACACACTACTCCAATGTGTCACTTGGGGTCTGGAATGGAGAGACTGAGTCATCTTGCGGAACACAAATGGCTTACGTTTCATGATTTAACTCATGTACAGTTTTTTACTTGTTCACAGTCATCCCATGGAGACTTGAGCTCTTTGAAACAGTACAGGTCTAGGTACCTGGTAAACATTTAGTAAATACTTGCTAACGTATCCTGAGTCACAGTTCAACAATATTTTTTGAGCGTCTATTTGAAGACGGTACTGTTTTAGTTTTAAAGGGGATACATATGTAGTAAGGCAGTCTCTGCCATAGAAAGTTTAGTGGGCTTGTAAAGTTTAGTGGGCTTGTGGGGAGGGTTTTCACAGTGTGCCAGGTGTACCTTAAATCCTCAAGATTAAATAGACATGTCTTCCTAGAGTGTTAGTCAAAAAGCACTACATTTTTATATTAAAACAGTCTAATACTAATAACACTGAAAAATTCATATTAAATTTTAATTTTCCAGGCAGCCTGTTGTGACAGATAGCCTTGGGGCTGTTCATTTTCCTGTATAATTAGGTACACTTCTAATGGAAAAGTTTGAGAAGCATAGAATACACAGATTATTATCATACAAGGCAAAATCTGGTCAGCATTGAAGTAAAAGTATTAATAAAGTGGTATAGGGGTTCAAATGAAGGTTCATATTCAGTTTAGGGTCCCCCCCACAAAAATAGACTTTGTGATGGAGGTGGGTATTTGAAATCAGCTTTAAAGAATTTAGGAGTTTGCCAGGTAAAGGTGAAGGAAGGGTATTCTAGGTGATGGGGTCAGCATGAAGGCTAGAAAAATACAACTGAGTCCAGAACATGGAGGACTCTGAATGCCAGGATAAGGAACTAGTGAATAATTTAGTTATCCACGGGAGACATTTAAGGATTTTAGGCCAGAGAGTGGCAGATCAGAACTGTTCATTAGGAAGATTAATCTAGTGGTAATGAATAAAAATCATTCAGAATTCCAAGCAGAAAGATAGTGAGGGTGGACAGTCTAGCCAGGAGTCCACTGCAATACTCTGGGTAGGAGATAATTAGGATTTAAACTAGAAACGTGATAGTTTAGAATGGAAAACAGTGAACCTAATTGAGTCTGTGGCAATGTAATCTACTAGATTAGCAGCTGACTGAATATAGGGAATGAGGAGACCATGTGCCTCAAGGTGACTATTTGTAGAAACAAATTCAAGAAGAGGAGTCGATTTGGAAATGGAATTGGAAGCAGACAGAAAATGAGGTGTTCAGTTTTGAAATCATTGACTTTTTAAAAGCCAGTGAGCCATTTGGTGGAGATATCCAGGCAATGAAGATTTAGGTTAAATGACCTCTGAGATCTCCATAGCTGAAATTTTAGCGTTCTAGGAAATATAGATCTGCAGTTTGGAATAAAAGTAGTAGCCAAATATGAATGAAATTTGGACTTCTTCACATAATTATAAGTAAAGTTGTGGAATTAGATGGGATCAACAAAGGAGAAAGTAGAAAAAAAAAAAAAGAAGTCCCAAGACAGAAACCTGGGGAAAAGTTGGCAAGGGACACAGAGACAAATGATCAGAGTGGTAAGAAGAGAGAAGTAACAGAGAAGTTAAAGTTGAAGGGGGCAAAAGCTAATTGCAAGTGGTTAAAGAGTGAAGAGGTGATAGCAATATTTAACAATAAAGCAAAGAAAGGAATGAGGACAATGAACAGAAGAGGAAGCAGCAGAGGACTTTCTTTTTTTGGAGAGTAGGAAAGATTTAAGCAAGTTTTAGAAAAGGGGAAGGGCTAATTGAGAGAAAAACTAAAAATATAATTAACTACTTTAAAGAGGAGATAAATAATTAAAGTCTCATAGAAAACAAACTTACGGTTACCTAAGAGGAAAGAGGGGGGAGGGATAAATTAGGAGTTTGGGACTAACATATACACACTACTATGTACAAAATAGATAATCAACAAGGACCTACTGTATAGCACAGGGAACTATACTCAATAGTTTGTAATAACCTATAAGGGAAAAGAATCTGAAAAAGAATATATATATATATATATATACACACACACACACACACACACACACACACACATGCATAACTGAATCACTCTGCTGTATACCTGAAACTAACACAACATGGTAAATCAACTATACTTCAATTTAAAAAAAAAAGTCTCAGAGGAGATCATTAGATCAGGAGAGAGAGAGGCAGACAGGTTGGCTTTGGCCACTGAAAAGGAAGAACGGGAAGGGAAATGTACACAGAGATTCTGAGGTGGCTAAACATTTAGAGAAGTCATATTGAATGGACTTGCTTTTCTGAGGTTAATCTTTTGAGAATAAAAAGGATGATGGGTGGGATAGAGGATCTAGGAAAAATGGGGTAGAAACTCTGCCATAGAAAATGGCAATGATGCAAAACAGCAAGAAAGATCTACCTGAGATTAGATAAGAGTGAATGTGTAGTAGTCCTAATCAGCATGGCTTTGTGACTTTGGTCAGTAATTCCTGGCTGCCTTGGGATGGAGAAAACAGACAGCCTGAGTTAATTAACCAGGACAAAGGACTGGTAAAGAAGGAACAGTGGAGGGAGGACAATGAGGAAGTCTAGAATGGTTTGCCAGTTTGTTAAAATAGCTGACTGTGGCATCTAGGCTCTTTAGGAAAGACAGAATGAGATTGATGAACTGGGAGGAGTAGAAAAGAGTTGAAGAACTGGTTATGAGACAGATGAAGCTCAGATTTGGTGGGAATGACTGAGAGGCAGAGGAATAGGAAGTTGCAGTGAGAGGGAAATTTCAGTTTGTATCTGGGAAGGTGGAGACATTGTAGGTTATGGTGAGCTCTAGCCTATAATAATTATAATTGGTGCCAGATATGGCTATAGTAGTCACTGTTGATACAATCAAGCAAATGTGAAGTCACAAAATTTGAAGTTCCAGAGCATGATAGGGAAGGTGGTTAGGACAGGGTGTCTGCGACCCATATGTTGGAATGAGCTATAGGTCACCAACACGTGTATTTAAGTATATAAGGTACCACATTGTGTGGAAGTAACTATAATATTAGGTAATGTATGACACTTACCAAATGAGTTGTATTTATAAGTGTTTCAAAGATCATTTCTGGCTGAGCTGGCCAAGGAATGTTTTAGATGTTAGAGAACCTAAACTGGGACTATGAGGATGAGTAGGAAAATTGGAGATTAGCAGGAGGGAGGAGGAAAGGAAGACAGTTTAGAGGACCACTCTATCTTATAAAAGTTTAGAGGGTGACTGACCCCTGACTGAGGAGAAAGTATCTATAGCAAGAGTTTCTAGAGGGAGTGAGATCCTGCTAGCCCAGCAAGACTCCCCTTTCATCCAACAAATTTCATTGAGCACTCATTACGTGTTATGTATTGTGCTGGGCATGTTACCGAACAAAACTTGGGTCTGCTGTGCTTGGGATGCACAGCACAGCCTATATACTGACACTGGGTTGTGATGAAGAAAAGTACAGTGTTTATTGCAGTGCACCACACAGGAGAATGTGTAGTTAGTGTTCAAAGGACCCAAACCTCCCTACCCCCCATGGCTTTCAGAGAAGAGTTTTAATGCCAGTGTGAGGGAGAGGGTCATAGGTTGTGTGATCAGCTCCTACACAATTCTCTAATTGGTGATGGTGAGGTAACATGGTGATGTTTTGTGAATCTCAGTCATCAACCTTCTGGTTCCAACTGGTCTGGGGTCTGTGTGCTGGTGGTCAGCATGCAGTTAACTTTCTCTGCCTGGTGGGGATTTTAATATCTGAAAAAGAACTCAAGGATATGGCTCAGGATATTATCTACAGCCCTTGAGGAGGAACTAAAGGTCCTTGACTTTATGGCTAAACTATTATTTTGTCTTGCTTGACTGATTTCCTTTGTTTCTGCATTTCTCACTTTTCTTGATTAAATTTGCTCTTTGGAACTTGGGGAAGGCCTAGGAGGCTAAAGCTTTTCTATGAACAAGAGGTGAGGGACACAGTGGGATCTGTCCCTGAGAAGGCCCTGCAAGTTCCTGCTCGATTTCAGGCACCATGGATGGATGCAAAGATAAAGGTCAGTCCCTGCCTTCAAGCTGTTCACAGATGACTAAGAAGATAAGAGATGAAGATGGTTTATACCGGCGAAGACTATTAAAAGCAGTTTCTTGGAGGAGATGACATTTAAGGAAGTATAGGAATACTCAAGGTAAAAAAAAAGGGAGTGTGGAGAAGACCTTTTCAAGCAGAAGGAGCCTCATGTGAAAAGACATAGAGCCATAAGAAACTCCATGTTCTGGATCCTTGGTTCTCAGACTCGGTTGATTAGAAGTTCCCAGATAACTTTATAAAAATACAGATTTCCTCAGCCCTCTTTCACCCCAGTTGAATCAGCATCTCTGGGCTGGGGCCTGGAAATCTATACTTTTAAAAAGCTCCCTAAGGAGAGACTGCAAATAAGGCTGATTTGGAACCCCTGTGGAGCAGCAAGACATGACACTGTTCAGGTTACTGGGGTCCTGGGAAGACTTGTAAGTCATGCTAAAGTGTTGGGGTTTCATGAAGCCAAAGGGGGAACCTCTGATTTCAAGCAGGGAAATGGTATTGTTAGACTTGGGATTTGGAAAGATATAACTGTGGTAGTGTTGCAGCAAGAAGAGAAATGAGACTTTTCTGATAAACAAAGAAAACAAGAGGGGACTTTCCTGGTGGTCCAGTGGTTGAGAATCTGCCTTCCAGTGCAGGGGACACGGGTTCGATCCCTGGCCTGGGAACTAAGATCCCACATGCCACGGAGCAACTAAGCCCGTGTGCCGCAACTACTGAGCCTGCTTGCTCTGGATCCTGCGTGCCACAACAAAGAGCCCGTGCGCCGTAACTAAGACCCGATGCAGCCAGATTAATTAATTAATTAATTAAAAAAAAAAAAGAAAACAAGGGAACAGTGAACAGGCTAGAGAAGAAACAAACTGGCCTGAGTCAATCACTCCTAGTTTTATTTTAACTGTTACTAATCTATAGTGTCTGTAACTAGATTTGTACTTCATGAAGCTAACCTATCACTCCTTAACACTATGTGAATTACACCCTGCACTCCCCTGTAGCAAATCACTCCTTGTAGCATTTGCATTTCAGAAAGAAGGTTGCAGGCGGATAACCCAGAGACAAACGGACCCAATTACCGGGCTTGCCTGAGCCAGCTGTGACTGTTTTGAACTAACTCAGGAAGAAGAATACAAGAGCTTCATTACTAGAGCCTTATCACCTACCATAGACTATGAGCCTTGGCTATATAACCTCTCTCAGTTCCCCAGGGAGGGGGGCACAGTTCTTGAGGCGCTAGCCTGATCTGTCTTCCCTTTGCATGGCAGAGGAATAAAGCCTTCAAAGCCTTACCCTTCAAAATCTCTACCTCCGTATTTCTGTTCAGCGTCGGTGCACAGAGAGCCAAGGTTTTTTGACAACAGTAGCCATGTGGAGACTGGACTGAAATGGAGAGGGAGACTCCAGGATTGCAGTAATCCAGGCAAGACTTGAAAGGCCTGATCAAAGGCAGGGCCGTGTGAATGAAGAGAAGCTGAAGAGACAAATGATATTGGATGTAGGGAATGAAGGTGACGGAGAATTAAGGATGAATCCCAAATTCCTGAGTAAATGGTGGTGCCATTTACCAAAAAGCAAATACAGGGAGAAGAGCAGATTGGAGGGGGGAAAGTGAGGAGAGAAGAGGACCTGAACTTCTTGTTTATTCCTAGTCTGTTGGTCTTTTTTCTTGTTTATGTTTGAATTTTTCAGGGGAAGACCTAAATCTTTTCAGAGTATGAGAGATGAGATATCTTGGAATAACACTGTAAAATTCATCAGTGCTTAAGCAAGGTTCTACAGAAGAATGGAATATAAAAAGAATATAAAAAGTGAAACTGGGGACTTCCCTGGTGGTCCACTGGATAAGACTCCGTGCTTCCAATGCAGGGGCATGGGTTCCATCCCTCGTCGATCCCTGGTTGGGGAACTAAGATCCCACATGCCGCACAGCGTGGCCAGAAAACTGCAGAAATATCTGGGTTTAAGACACATGCCATTAGCAGTCTCTGATGGGCCAGACTTAGAATACCAGGGAATTAACCAAGCTCAATCCTCTCCTTGTCTCTTTTAGAAATGTGTACTCTTAGGGCTGGCCTTAAGTGTAGCCTAAGAAAAGTAGCTAAATGATCAGAATAACACAGTGTTAAAGATAATTTTCAAAAAAGTAAAATCATAACTCATACAAATGAGGGAACTAGTAAGATGTTAAACTGGTTCAAAAGAGAATCTGAAGACAGACACATATATAGGCAATTAAGAATGCTGAAATTGCTAATAGATATAAAATTTGCCAATATCTACAGGGCATAAAATATTATGTTTGGAGTTATCTTTTTCACAGGGTGGAAATTGTATCTCACTGGCCAAAATTCATTTGTCTCTCTATGTATAAGAATCATTTGCACTGCCATCAGTTTTCTCAATTTACAAATTGTAAAGTAGTTCAAAGACAATGAAAGCCATAGATCGATTATGCCAAAGACTCCTCTCTAGACAATACCCAATAATGTTTTTTCCCATTTCAAAGTTTTAAAAATGATTTCCCCCCTGAGAACAGAAAAGCCTCTCTTATCATAAATATCTCACCTCTGCCGTACACTGCATTGAAGTGGAAGCAGCAGCAGGACACCAATTAGGAGAGATGACAGTGGTTTGGACTAGGAGGTAGTAGCTACAGAGAAGGTTGAAAATGGCTGGATGTGGAGTTTTGAAGGTACAACCAACAGAATTTGCTGTTATGAGAATCCAGGATAACTTCAAAGCTTTTGGCCTGAGCAGCTAGGTGAATGATGGCACCATTTACTAATATGGGGAAATATGAAAGTAGGAGGTTTAGGAGAAGAAATATAGATTTTGTTTTGGACACATTATGTTCTCTAAAGACATCATTTAAAATGTGGTATTTTTTTTTTTTTTAGAGGTTTTTTTTTTTTTTTTAATATCCACATTGCTTTATTTATTTATTTTTTGACACACTGGTGAGGAGAGCACTTTTGTTTTGGAGGCATCATACGGACTGTGGAACTTCCCCGACCAGGGATTGAACCCATGGCCCCTGCAGTGGAAGCATGGAGTCTCAACCACTGGACCACCAGGGAAGTCCAAAAATGTGGTATTTCTATACAGTGTAATATTATTTGCCAATAAAAATAAATGAAGCACTGATACATACTACAACATGGATGAACCTTGAAAACATTATGCTAAGTGAAAGAAGCAGTCACAAAAGACACATATTGTATGATTCCATTTATATGAAATGTCCAGAATAGGCAAATCTGCAGAGACAGAAAGTACATTAGTGTTTGCCTAGGACTGAGGGAAATGGGGAATGACTGCTAATGGGTATGTGTTTTTTTCTAGGGTGATGACATGTTCTAAAATTGATTGTGGTGATAGCATGATGCTGTGAATATACTAAAAAACCATCAAATTATTCACTTTAAGTAGGTATGTTATATGGTATGTGCATTTTATATCAATAAAGCTGTTATAAAAATAGTTATAAGGGGCTTCCCTGGTGGCACAGTGGTTGAGAGTCCGCCTGCCGATGCAGGGGACACGGGTTCGTGCCCCGGTCCGGGAAGATCCCACATGCCGTGGAGCGGCTGGGCCCGTGAGCCATGGCCGCTGAGCCTGCGCGTCCGGGGCCTGTGATCTGCAACGGGAGAGGCCGCAACAGTAAGAGGCCCAAGTACCGCAAAAAAAAAAAAAAAAGGTTTCAAAATATGTAGTTATCAAAACATTATGAAGCTATTTTAATAAAGGATTTTAACCTGCTAAAAATAAAAGGAAAATTAAGTGGTCAAGTGTGCTAATCCTTCTCTGTTAACCACAGGAAACCTGCCTATTCAGACTGTCTATGTCAATGCACCATAACCAACGTAGAACAGTTTGCTAATAGCAAGCAAATAGCTTCTTCTTTTTTTTCTTTTTGCGGGCCTCTCACTGTTGTGGCCTCTCCCGTTGCAGAGCACAGGCTCCGGACGCGCAGGCTCAGCGGTCATGGCTCACAGGCCGAGCCGCTCCGCAGCATGTGGGATCTTCCCGGACCGGGTCACGAGCCCGTGTCCCCTGCATCGGCAGGCGGACTCTCAACCACTGCGCCACTAGGGAAGCTCGCAAATAGCTTCTTGATTGCTGGGCTCCCATAAAGCAATCATTCTTAACGTGTGTGTGTGTGTGTGTGTGTTTGTGTGTGTGTGTGTGTGTGTGTGTGTGAAGGATTGGATTATGATTAGCTTTAGTATACACAGCCACCAGTTTTCCAAAGTATGGAAAATCTGATCTTTGAGAATCTAATACAAGCTGTGTTTCTTCTCTCCTCAAAGTGCATGTATACACACATGCATACATGCAAAAATATTGTACATATTTTCAGGGTGTACAGAGACCCACTGAAGCCCACCAGAGAAGTTGTTTCCATAAATTAAAGCATTGTCACAGGAATTTACAGTGACCTTCATTTATTCAGATTTGTGTTCAGTTATGTGCCCCAAATTTATGATTTGACAATTTAAAAGCTCTGTAGTATGGTTGGTGGGAGTGTAAATTGGTACAACCATACTTGGGAAAACTGGTGGCACTATATACTAAAGCTAAATGTAATTGAAACCCTATAGTCCAACAATTCCACTCCTAGGTACATATATCCAACTGAAATGCATTCTCATGTTCACCAAAACAAGTATTCACAGCAGCTCTATTTATAATTGCTCCAAACTAGAACAACCCAAATGTTCAAAATAAAATAATCAACCGTCACAAAAAAATACATATTGGATGATTTCATTTATATAACGTTCAAAAGCAAAACCAATCTATTGTATTAAAAGTCAGGATTGTAGTTAGCTTGAAGGAGGGATATAGTGACTGGGAGAGGGCATGAAGGGGGCTTTTGGTGAGCTGGTAATGTTTTGTTTCTTGACTGGGGTGCTGGTTACATAGGAATGCTCACTATTCATTACTGAGTCATACATTTTTATTTATTTTGATTTAAGCAATTTTCTCTGGTTATGATTCCATAAAAAGTTTTAAAAGGTATCTAATGTGAAGAGTAAGATGGAGGAGAGAAATGAAAGACTGAATTAGGTCATCTAATTTTTAAAACATGAACATTTTAAAATAAAAAGTGTTTGTTCAGTCTTTTAAATGTTCATAATGTTAAGAATCTAGTCAACTATTCTGTGACCTTCTCTAGTCTTCCCCTCTTTGATCATAAACATCTCTTCCTCCCTGCTCTCAGATGAAAGGAATCCAATTTAGTTTAATATAAATCAGTTTAAACTAAGTTATCTAAGACCCTTCTGGCCTCCACTTGGGAGTTCAAGAAAGGCTGGGGTGACAGAGCTAGGGGAAAAAGTTTTTTTAAAAAATTATTATTAAGGCTAACCCATAAGTATTTTGAGGTGTTGTATTATGGCTTTAAATGTCCAGAAATCTTTGGAGAAGTACTCATCTTTAGATTGGGAGTGGGATCTCAGCATCTCTGAAATATATGAGAAAAACTTTGGCTTTGAACTTCTTCCCATCAAATCAGGAGAATAACATACATCTATTGGGCTTGCATATGGGGCAGAAACATGGCGATTTGGTCAAGCAGTCCTTCTGACGGGGCAGAAGCCTCTAGATTCCTAGCTGAGTTTCTAAAGTAAGTTCAGATAAAATATGCTATTATTCTTGGGGATGTTCACTTAGTTGAGAAAAACAAAGTGGTGGGCAGAGTACTGATATTCAGGGAACAAAAATCTACACAAAACATCTATCTGAAGAGTTCTTATGGAGTATTTGCTCCCCACCTTCCACCCAAATTGAATCTACTTTTTTACAATCTGGAATGTAAAGAAAAACTAACAGCAGTGAGTGGGGCTGCTAGAAAAAGATTTCTGCCAGGAAGTGACCCTTGCTTTTCTGACTTGCATTCCGTAGAATTTTATTGCTTTCTGGGAGGGATGGCTCCCTTTCTCACTTATCAATAAGAAGTCATGTCTAGTCTGTCTCTTTCCAAATTATGTACACACCTGGAACTCACTGAGGAGAAAAGGAAGGCAGACCAAGGCCTTGAGAAGAACTGGGGACACAGGAACAAAGATTCATGTACACATGTAATAGGTAATAGGAAAATATAAAAAATCCATTCTACTTAACTTATTTCAGCATTAAAGCAATTATTTTTATTCTTTAGGGAGTAAAACACATTCTTAGAAATTATATGAATATATAATCTGTGCATTTTAGCTGTATGGAAAAGGTAAAGAACATTTAAAAAATCTTTCAATTAGAATTCTCCTTATAGTTTTGTTAAAAATTTTTTAAATTAATTTATTTACTTTTGGCTGTGTTGGGTCTTCGTTTCTGTGCGAGGGCTTTCTCTAGTTGGGGCAAACGGGGGCCACTCTTCATTGCGGTATGCGGGCCTCTCACTATCGCAGCCTCTCTTGTTGCAGAGCACAGGCTCCAGACGCGCAGGCTCAGTAGTTGTTGCTCACAGGCCTAGCTGCTCCGCGGCATGTGGGATCTTCCCAGACCAGGGCTCAAACCCGTGTCCCCTGCATTGGCAGGCAGATTCTCAACCACTGCGCCACCAGGGAAGCCCAGTTTTGTTAAAATTTGATATCAGAAAACACTCATGCAAGAAGTGAGTACAGTGAAATATTTAAAGTGTTGGGGACTTCCCTGGTGGTCCAGTGGTTAAGATTCTGCACTCCCAATGCAGGAGGCCTGGGTTCGATCCCTGGTCAGGGAACTAGATTTTGCATGCCGCAACTAAAAATCCCTCATCTGGCATGCTACAATGAACACCCGGCACAGCCAAATAAATAAATACATATTTAAAAAAATAAAAAATAAAATAGTATTGTAAAACAAAAACAAAAAAACACCCAGCAATCTAGAATTCTATATCCGGTAAAATTACCCTTCAAAAGCGAAGGATAAATACTTTCTCAGATAAAAACTGAGGGAATTTATGTCCAGCACACTTGCCCTGTAAGAAGTGTTAAAAGAAGTTAAGGGAGAAGGAAAATGATATGCCAGAAAAGTTTTATATAAGAAAAGCATCAGAGAAGGAATAAATGAAGGTAAACAAAAACAGATAATTTGCTAGTTCCAAAAACCCTTCTTTAGTCTACAACTTGAATATACTCTCTTAGAACAATCTCTTTTGAGAGATAGATATGTGAAAAGCACACACATTCATGAAATTCTAGCACATAACAAATTACTTTGTACATTCTGTATTTTGTTTCCCTAGCCCAGCATAGTCTTGGCTCTTCCTTTTCAACCTGAGAAGATTCTTCAAGATTGAGCTTAAATGAAGGCAGGAGAGAGTAGTGGTTAAAAGCCTGTGTTTGAACTCAAGCTCTGCACAGTGTCCTTAGGTAAGTCTCACTACCTCTCTGAATTTTCTTTAAAATAATCTTCTATGGTTTTTTAGTGTTGAGGACTAAATGAGAAAATATATGAAGTGGTTAGAATAGTACCTCACAAGAAAAGTACTCAATACATGAAAGCCACTATAATAAATAACCTCTTCTAAGTCTTTCCTAGTGTTCCCAGGAAGAATGCTACTTCTTTGTGCTTCTAAAAATTAAGTTTGGGCTTCCCTGGTAGCGCAGTGGTTGAGAGTCCGCCTGCTGATGCAGGGGACACAGGTTCGTGCCCCGGTCTGGGAAGATCCCACATGCCGTGGAGTGGCTGGGCCCGTGAGCCATGGCCGCTGAGCCTGCGCGTCTGGAGCATGTGCTCCGCAACGGGAGAGGCCACAACAGTGAGAGGCCTGCGTACCGCAAAAAAAAAAAAAAAAATTAAGTTTCTACTTCAACATGAGTATTTATCACAAAGTATCTTATCTGCCCACTTAAATGTGAGTTCTTGGGGGCCGAAATTGTGTCCTACACAATTTTTTATTGTCACACCTAGCAAGTGCCATTTAATTTGTAAGTACTCAATATTTTTTTGGATGAATGAATTATAGGCAATAAAATATAAAGCAGTGTTCCCAAATTTTAACGTGTAAGCTTTTAGAGACTATGTTTAAAATGCAGCTTCCTAAGCCCCCAACCCCAGAGACTGATTTACTAGGAACCTGTATTTTGGCAAAGTACTCACCCCCACAAAGGTTATTTTGATGCACCACATTTTGAGAAACATTGTTACAAAGGATGACTTATGGGAAAACAATACTTTTTCTGAAATAAAAATAACAAGTATAAACAATCCTAGTAAATACATTTCTTATTGTCCTTTATGCTGTAGACATTATAAAAGAAGTGAAGAACAATAAGCCAATTACAAGCTCAATTATCTTTCTTTTCATACATTGTTAACTCTGTTATAGTTAGGTATGTTACCTACACTTGCAACCTAAGACTTTCAGCTCTTCAGTAAGTTCAGGTGTCACGTGCAAGTAGTTATTAATAGGATAGAATATACTCATTATTTTCATGGTAATAACGGTGTAATTGGGTAACTTATTTTGCTCGAGATGGAGACACTATTCAGACTTTACATTAGCTGGTGTTCGGGTTAGACTTAACATGCCCTGCCCTCCAGTATATATATGTTACAATTGTAATATTTGTGTATGCCTAATTTTCCACACAGGATGAAACAGAGGCTAGTATCCTAGTGTAAACCGGGAGTGTTACTGGCCTTGTGTGAAAAGTTCTCATTTCCAGTTAAAATAACTGAAGTTGTAAAACTGCACAGAGATACCAGAGACAATAATTGATCTTTATTATACAGAAATGTGAAGGCCATATGCATTAAATGAAAAGGTGTTTTGCAATGAACATTATGCAGATTCAAACTGAAGACATCTTCATCTTATTGAGATACAATATAAAAATAAACACTGACCAAGAGTTGCTAGAAAGAACTCAACTTCTACTCTCCCAATCAAGCTGAAACTTTCCACAGGAAAACCTGGTTTCAATTCATGCTGAATTGTTTTCATATGGAAAGAAAAAACTAAGTCAGGTAGAGGCAACCAGGGACTGGTTTTTATACTTTTAGAGAGCCAGACTGAAGCTCTACTCAGTTTCACATTTAAGAATTTGTTTCACTTTAAAATTTATATCTCTAGTCACCTAAGTGATACCTAAAAGTGAAAAAAGAAAGTTAATTGAGTTGGGAATTTTGTGGAGCTAGACAGGTTTAGGGGAGAAGATGAAAGTTACAATCATTCATTTAATTACTTCTGATCAGGAAGATTTGATGTCAGGTCTGGATCGTCTGTATTAGACCTTTGATAGCCCGTTTCTCTGTAGCTGTCAAGAGGCAAGATCCATTAAAAGTATCAGCATAACAAATGCTTGACATTAGCACAGTTTGGTGCCTGTCCTCTTTATATTCCCAAATACTGGACTTTATATCAGGATGCTTTTAAGATCAAATTGCCCTTCTAAACAGGATTTTTCTTAATAAGCTTCTGTTTGCATTCACTACTGAATTAAAAAATGTTTTAGCGATTTGGTTAGACAGATGGTTGTGTTGAGACAAGACTAATGACTAGAAGGGTATCTGTGGATTAAATATAGATAAAACTACCTCCAGAACCCTTAAATATAGACAGAATCTATCAATTTATGTAGGAAGCCAAAATAGGGAACAAGAAGATCTAGAGTTTAGATATATTGTCTGGACTGAGGATGCTGCTTTCTGCAATTGAAATTTACAACTCCCTAAATTCAATCAGAGTAGGGACATTTAAAGTAGTCAGGAGGAATCAGGATAGTCATGTGCTAAAGAGAGGAAATTCTGATGCCACCTCCCTTTGCAAATTGTATTGCTGACTGCTTGAAGGAGGTGGTTGAGAGATACATTTTTTTCATTTAGACTTCTGTTCTAATGAATGATGGAGTAGGATAATGCTGAGAGAGAGTAGAGAATATATTTCTGGTTCTAGGACTGTGAGAACCAGGTAATCACATTTGGAATATTCTCATTAGGTTAGAAAAGGAAAAATGAGAAAACCACTAGCGGGACACGCATTTATATCCCAGAGACCATATGCTCCAAAAATTAGTTTTGTTTCCATTGCCCCTTATTCAAAGAGATGGTTACTTCAACAAGCTACATTACTTAGCAGAGCCTGAGAGACAGACTGAAAACATATATTTAAAATGGAAAATAAAATTTTAAAAATATGATAAATGGTTTGCTCTACATCTCATTCACATTCTGTGGCTAGAGAAATCCAAATCTCACTTAGATATTCCTGCTAATGCAAAAGCACACTAGATGGAAGTAAACCAAGAAATGAGAGAAAATGTTTATTTATTGGGTGTGTGTTGGTTCACCCAGTTTATTCACCTATGGAGTGGAAGTATAGGGAAAAATAAAGTCTGCTTATAAGAGTCAAGGTCTATACAGGAGCCTTGAAGTTGCTCTCCCCAAATAACGAGTTTGATTCAAGAGAAGGAAAAAACACGATGGAAAACATCTCATCACACAAAGCTTGCTGATGGTGTCTCTGACAGTCACTGGCCAGTGAGGGAAAAGGAGAAACCCACCTGCTGGCTTTAGGATTTATTGAAGGCTGCCAGCACAGCCCAGATCATCTCTGTGGCACTGTGCTTTGTCCCCTCTATCTCAGGGTCCAGTTCCACTAGGTCCTTGGCCCGATTCATTGCCACATCATACTTGTCATCTGTCAGAGAGGAGAAGACATTCTCTAGCACGTCAGAGGAGTGGGCTAGCACCAGTAGTGCTAGTGTTCGCTTGTCCATACGCTGAGGGTCATTTACCCACCGCTCTAGGACACTGTCTTGAAGCTTTTTCACTAGTCGCTGCTTCTCTGTTGTATTGGTCACTGGGTGAGTAGTCATGTCAAATAGGAGGAAATTCTGCTTCTCAGTGGTTAGAATACCCTTCTCTACTAGGTTCTTTGCAATTCTCTCTCTTACATTTCTCAGCTGGTACTGTAATTTGAAAGGGTTCCAGGTCTCACCTATGGGAAAAATAAATAGAAGGCTTGAACAACATTATAAACCAACTAGACCTAAGAAGACATCTATAGAATATTCTACCCTATAACAGTAGAATGTACATTCTTCTTAAGTGCACATGAAACATTCTCCAGGATAGACCATATGCCAGGCCATAAAACAAACCTTAATAAATTTAAAAGGACTGAAAACATACAAAGTATGCTATCCAATCACAATGGAATTAAACTAGAAATTAGTAACAGAAGGAAATTTGGGAAATTAAAAAATATGTGGAAATTACGCAACACAATCTGAAATAACCAATGAGTCAAAGAAGAAATCACAAGGAAAATTTAAAAAATACTTTTGAGTTGAATGAAAGAAACCCCACAACATACCAGAACTTATGGGATGCAGCTTAAAGCAGTACGAAGAGGGAAATTTATGATCCAAATGCTATATTAGAAAAGGAGATGTCAAATCAATAACCTAACATTCTATCTTAAAAAACTAGAAAAAGAAGATCATACTAAACCCAAAGCAAGCAGGAGAAAGTAAATAATAAAGATTAGAGAGGAAACAGAGAAAATCAAATCAAAACTTGGTTCAATGAAAAGATAAAAAAAAGGACAAACCTAGAGTGACTAAGGAAAAAAGAGAGAAGACTCAAAATTACTAAAATTAGGAATGAAAGAGGAGACATCACTACTGACCTTACAAAAATAAAAAGAATTATAAGGAAATACTATGAAAAACAGGATGCCAACAAATTAGACAACCTAGAAGAATGGACAAATTCTTTGAAATACAGAAATTACCTAAACCAACTCAACAAGAAAGAGAGAGTTTGAATATAAAACAAGTAAATAGATTGAATAGTAACTTTAAAACTTCCCACAAAGAAAAGTGTGGTCAAGATGGCTTTACTGGTAATTCTACCAAACGTTAATGAAGAATTAATGCCAATCCTTCACAAATGCTTAAAAAAAAAGAAGACAGACTTCACAAGAAAACTATAGACCAATATCCCTTATGAATATAGGTACAAAAATGCTCAACAAAATACTATCAAACAAATCTAGCAACATATAATAAACACTATGTAGGGAATTTCCTGGTGGTCCAGTGGTTAGGACTCTGTGCTTTCACTGCCAAGGGTGTGGGTTCAATCCCTGGTCAGGGAACTAGGATCCTGAAAGCTGTGTGGCGAGGCTGAAGGAAAAAACAAACAAAAAACAGAAAAAATGGGACTTCCCTGGTGGCGCAGTGGTTAAGAATCCGCCTGCCAATGCAGGGGACACAGGTTCATGCCCTGGTCTGGGAAAATCCCACATGTTGTGGAGCAACTAAGCCTGTGTGCCGCAACTACTGAGCCTGCACTCTAGAGCCTGCGAGCCACAACTACTGAGCCCGTGTGCCACAACTATTGAAGCCCGTGGGCCTAGAGC